CTTCAACGCACTCAGAGGTGGAAGGATCAGGGGCGGATGAAATGGGTGAACTTTCTGAGTGCCCTGTTTTTCTCCTGGAGAAAAAGGAGGGGGGTGGGGCGGGGGGCTGTATCTGACCACTGAGGGGCACGTCCTGGGGGAAGTCTGGAAGCGGCCGATTGGGGGTTTCTGGGTGACACTTGGTTTTTCTTATCGTCCCAGTGCTGTTCCCATAATAGAGCCAAGTGTTATCCAGGAAAAGGCTCGCTACCACCCCACTTCTCGTGGAATAGTGGCCTCGGCCCGCCGGGGAGAAGGTGTCCCAGCTCAGGGCCGGCCTGGCCGTACCTTGTCATCTCAGCGTCCTCGCCCTGTGGCGTCACCCACCGTGCACTCAGGGAGGCTTCGGCTCCTGCCCTCTGCCTTCTCGGGCGGTGCTCCAACCGGCCTCTGCCACAGCCCTTCTTCAGGGGCAGAAAATGCCCTTCCCCTTCATCACAGATGGTCGCTCTGAATCTCTGGCTACAGTTCAGGGCTGGGGGGTGGTGGGGGGGGGTCTCAGCCCGGCTGCAGAACAGACCCCGGGGAACGCTGGCCTCTCAAGGGCCACTGTTCACCTGAGTCCCAGGAAGGGAGCATTTCTGTTGGTCAGAGAAAGGCACACACATTCGCCCCTTCCCTGGCTGTTACTACGTGAGCTGTCCGAGGAGAGCTCTGGGCTGGGGGGCCGGGGGAGGTGGGCGGAACAGGTGCTAAGGAAGGACAACAGAGAGGAGACAGCTGGGGGGGGTCTGCCCGTCAGACCTAACGCTTTCCCCTGGGCTCCCTCCACACAGTTCAAGTTCCAGTGCGGAGCCTTCTCTCTGTGCCCGACACACAGTAGGGAGGCACTCAGTTGCTAGGTGCAGAATGAAGGGCGCCGTCCACACATCTGCCTCCAGGCCCTGATGCCCGTGTGAAAACACGCCTGCAAACGGGTGTTGGGGGTCTGCCCCTGCGTATTCCGTCTTCCCTGCAAACCCGGGACTCAGGACCATCATCCCACTTCACAGCTGAGAAGATTCAGATCTGGGGAGGAGGCGGGCCCCCCGAGCGGCAGGGCCGGTCCCCCCGGGCCGAGAAGTGTCCCTGCCCAGGTCTGCCCTGCCCCTCGCAGCGTCCGAAGCTCAGACAGCCGCCCAGACTGAGTCAACACTGCCAGCGGAGCCAGGAATCAAAGCAAACAGGGTTCCTCTGCCCCCTCCCCTTTTTTGCCAGCTGCCCCATTAACAGAAAAGCCTTTTAAGCGCCCATCTGGAAAGCTGGCCTTTCCCTCCCCGAGCAAACTGAGATGACCAAGAGGAATGTGCTTCGGGGTGTAGGTTGGGGGGGGGACCCCAACACACTGGATCCTGCTCATACGGCAGAGAATGAACACAGGAAGATCAGAAATGCCCCCTGGGCCGCCCGGCGGCCCCTGCGGCAGGCAACACGGGCTCTTGGAGCAGCCCCGCCAGCCTCCGCTTCCCGCAACGGCCCGTGCGGTCGCTCCTTCTACCGTCTGCTCCTGACGCCCCTGTTTCTTGGAACAGTTTCTACTTTCAGCCTAGACCACCTCTTAGGGGCCCAAGAAAGAGATCCTGAGGCACCAGCCCCATCAGGACATACTGGTGAATAAGTATATTATGGGCTGTAAGAAAACTTGCCACTCTGGGGCGCCTGGGTCGCTCAGTCGGTTAAGCATCCGACTTCGGCTCCGGCCACGATCTCGCGCCTTGTGAGTTCCAGCCCCGCGTCGGGCTCTGTGCTGACAGCTTGGAGCCTGGAGCTGCTTTGGATTCTGTGTCTCCCTCTCTCTCTGCCCCACGCCTACCCCTCTCAGAAGTGACCAAACATTTAAAAAACTTAAAAAAAGAATAAAGAAAACTTGCCATTCTGAGCATGGCTGCTCTCAGCCCTGCCCAGCTGTCGGTGGGCGCTCGCACATTTACTGAGGCCCTTTCATGTATCGGGCACTTTGGGGACTCAGAGGTGAAGTGACGCGGTCAGCTCCCAGGCCGGCGGGGAGATGAGGCAGAGGCATAAGTAATGAGCAAACGCAGCCACGTGCGGAACCCTATGCTCGGTGCAGGCAAGGCCGCGGGGTCCCTGACCCGGGGCGCCTCTGTGGGAGGTGATGGGCTCCTGGGGCACAGCAGGCAGGCTGCCTTGGCCTTTTGCGCCTGATGAATGGGGGGGGGGGGCAAGCAAGGCAGGGGAAGGGTCAGCGGGAAGAGCAAAGTGTCAGCAAAGGCAAGCACGGGGCGGGGTGACTTCTAGGGGAGCTGAAAGGCTTATTCTGCGTATATTTTTTTAACTTGTGAAAAATACTGCTAATTACATGCAAATTTCCTCCTCTTGAATTTACACTTTCTTCTCTGTACCTTCGCTGGTGGCTGGGTTTGGACCAGAAGCATCTGTAATTGTGCGGTCATTCGGATTTGAGTAGAAAAGAAAAATTCCAAACGTAGAAATGTTGCAAGAGTAAGAATCTTGTGCTCGGTTTGTCAAGATTCACCAGTTGTTAACATTTGGCCACATTTGCTTAACCTGTCTCTCTCCATTTAACACATTGTTGCCCAACTGTTTGAGAGTAAGACTCTGGACCCTGAATATTACATAGTATCTCTTGGAAACAAGAATGTTCCTTTGGGTAACCCTGACCATGGTCAAATTCAGGAAGCAGAACATGGATACAATGTGATTCTCCAACCCACACAGTCTGTATTCAAGTCTCGTAGTTGTCCTGGTAAAGTCCCTTACAGTAACTTCTCTCCTGGTCCGAGACCCGACCCACGGTCAGCGGGTGCTCTGGGTTGGCCCGTGGCCCGTGAGGTCACTGGACGGTGGAGGGCAGGAGGAGTGTGGCGCCGGCACCCATGGGACAAAGTCCTTGTTTCCCCGGTGTTTTTCTCTCCTGTGGTGCTGTCCAGCCCCTCTCACTTTGTGGTTGAATTCCTTTAGGAGAAGTAGAAGCTATTTTCCAGCCAAAAGGCCACTAAAAAGCACTTGGTGACTTTCCTGTCCGTATCACTGACCACCTGTGTTGGGCCTCACCAGGCCCTTAGAAAGTGCACAGGGTTAAGGAGCTGACAGTCCGGGGGTGGGGGTGGGGGGGCCTGGGCGGAGACAGGGCAGACCCCGCAGCCAAGGTCACCTGTCAGAGGCAGGGGCAGGGGAGGGAGGGCCCGGGGCTGCTGGGTCTCAGTGTTTTAGCTTCTGCCTTTGAATCCACGTCCAGGGACCTGTGTCTTCCATGGAGAGCTCCTCCGCCAGTCCAGGGGCTGCCCGCCTCCGTCTCCGTCATTTCCATATCTCCAGCTCCCAGCATGTCCTCGGCATGTGGCCGGTCCCCGTCTGTAGCTGTTTGGGGAATGGAGCCCGGCAGACACTGGAGAGAGGCCTGGAGAAGCAGGTGCTCCAACCACCGCCCGGCCCCCGTGAGGTTCCTGCTTCCCGGGGGCTTCAGGAGGGAGGACCGACCTACGCACAAGTTCTACAGTCCGCGGAAGGGCAGGGATTGGCGTGTCAGGCGGGGGAAGAGAGTTACGCTGGTGTGAACAAGTGTGGTGGGGAAGGGAGATGGTCACCAACCCGATGGCCCCGCGTGGAGGCATCCAGAACTCTGACAGCATCCTTGCCGAGAAGCGAAGTCCAGGAAAGGGGCTGGAAGTTTGGGGCCATAGTGGGAAATGCCTTGATGGTGAGCCACAAAGTTTAGATTTAATCTCTCTCTCTTTTTTTAAGTTTATTTATTTTGAGAGAGAGAGAGAGAGAGAAATTGCAAGCAGCAGAGGAGCAGAAGCAGAGAGAGAAAGAGAAGACCGGAAGCAGGCTCTGCACCATGGGTTCAGAGCCCGATGCGGGGTTCCACACCACAAACCCTGAGATCATGACCTGAGCCAAAATCAAAAGCCAGATGCTTAACGGACTGAGCCACCCATGAGCCCTTATATTTTATCTCTTGGTAGTTTCCCAAGCCCTAAATAATCACGTTGCCTTTACAACTTTTGCCAAATTCAAAGAAAACTTTCTCTTATTATCATTTTACTATTATAAATACTAGTTATTATTTTCTATTAATATGAAAGTAGACCAAGTAAAAATAAAAAGCTGTCCCCTCGTGATCCCCCCCAGAGGCCCCTCTGTGCGGCCGGTGGCTGTCTGACCAGGAATCACAGCTGAAGGCCTGGGAGCCATGGCCACTTCTTATGGCAAAGTAGGGACACGTGTCACCAGTCATGTGGCTACAGTCAGGTCAATTCATGCTCTGGGATAGTGTGGCCTCATCGGTCAAGTGATGGGTTTAGACACAGGATTTCTTTTTTCTCTCTCTCTTTCTTTAATGTTTTATTTTTTGAGAGACACAGAGAGACAGAGTGTGAGTGGGGGAGGAGCAGAGAGAGAGAGAGAGACACAGAATCCAAAACAGGCTCCAGGCTCTGAGCTGTCAGCACAGAGCCCGACGCGGGGCTCAAACCCATGAACCGTGAGATCATGACGCGAGCTGAAGTCGGGTGCTTCACCGACTGAGCCCCCCGGGCACCCCACACAAAAGGGTTTCTAGTAACACAACTGGCTTGGTCAGGGAAAGCCCCTGGAGGTGGTGCGGTCACCCCACGACCTGGGAGCTGGGAGCTTGTCGTACCAGGAGCCCGGGGCCAGCGCCGGTGCCCCGAATCCACCAAGGGAAGACCCACACCTGCTGTTAGACCTCCAGAAACTGCGCAGAGGCGGCCTCTGCTCTTCAACTCTAGGAAGTGACTGGGTAATATTCTGTGTTGGCAGAGGAGGAAACCCCCCTCTCGCCAGGATGACAGAGAGCAGAGTGGGGGCTGGGTCCCTGGGCTGGACACACCCTGGGGGCAGTCACACTGGGACCAGCTTGGGTCAGCCGGTGCCGTCACTGCAGTGCCCAGGGTGGTGTGGGGCTCACAGCAGTGAAGGGCGGCTCCTGCCTGGGAGGATTCTGCCAAAAGCTTACACTTGGACCCAAAGCGAGCATGCGTGAAATCGTGCACATTCAGATTGGCCAGTGTGGTAACCAGATCGGAGCCAAGGTAAGGAAAGTTCGATTCCTAGGACCAGCTTTCCTGGGGCCCCAGGTGTAGCCGACAAAGAAAATATCTCACGTCAGTGGGTAAGACAAGTCCGCAGAGCGTGCACTTGCTGAATACCTGACTTACGAAACCACGCCTCTGGTTAGAGACACAGGAAGTGTCTAATTTAATTAAAGGACTAATTTAATTCATGTCAATTTCATCATCAGTTACATGCAAACCATTTTTACTTTTATGACTTTAGCAATTTATTTTTTGTATCTAAAGATAGTAATTTGGGGCGCCTGTGTGGCTCACTTGGTTAAGTATCCGACTCTTGGTTTCAGCTCAGGTTATGATCTCACGGCTCGTGAGTTTGAGTCCGCCCCCCCCACCCCCCCAGGCTTGCTCTAGGCTGATGGTGTAAAGCCTGCTTGGAATTCTCTCTCCCTCTCTCTGACCCTCCCCTGCTCACGCTGTCTCTGTCTCTCTCAGAATAAATAAGTAAACTTAAAAAAAAAGGCAGTAATTTGTCTCAAAACAGTTTTGCAGTTTGTTGGGCTACTTTTAAATTTTTTTAATGTTTTATTTATTTTTAAGAGAGAGAGAGAGAGAGACAGCATGAGCAGGGGAGGGGCAGAGAGAGAGACAGACACAGAATCTGAAGCAGGCTCCAGGCTCTGAGCTGTCGGCACAGAGCCCGACGCGGGGCTCGAACCCACGAACCGCGAGATCCTGACCTGAGCTGAAGTTGGACGCTCAACTGACTGAGCCACCCAGATGCCCCTGTTGGGCTACTTTGACACCATCTTCCTAAGATGACTTTCCTTCTCCTCTCGTGTTTATATTGCAAAGTTTAAAAAATCGACATCTGTTTAATTTAGTCTGAAATAGAAAACTAAGGAGGTAAACCTACAAGTTTTGGGGTGTAGTCGCAGAAATCATTACCGTACACCCTCTGGAATGAATATAAATATGTGTTTGTCCTCCCCACCTAAATTTTTGTACAAAGTGCCTGGTTCAATGGCTAACACTAAGAAACCAGATGACACAGCCTAACAGGTCTCTAACCTGAATTTTAATCCTAACTTTACACGGTTGTACTAACAGCCATCTGACTGTTCCCTTTGCCATTTTGAAATTACTTTCACTAGTATGAATTGCATTAACAATTTAATTGCATTAAGAGTTAAATTCTTTTAAAAAATGTGGCAAAATAAAAATTTACCATCTTAACCACTTTTTTTTTTGCACTCTCTGAGAGAGCACGAGTGAGTGAGTGGCAAAGAGAGAGAGAGAGAGAGAGAGAGAGAGTCCCATGAGGGGTAGAGTGAGAGACAGGGAGAAGCAGGGCTCGAGCCCACGAACCATGAGATCATGACTCGAGCTGAAGTCAGATGCCCGACCCACTGAGCCACCTAGGTGCCCTCCATCTTAACCATTAACAAAATTTTTTTAGGGTCACCTGGGTGGCTCAGTTGGTTGGGCGGCTGACTTTGGCTCAAGTCATGATCTCACGGTTTGTGGGTTCGAGCCCCGCGTCGGGCTCTGTGCTGACAGCTTGGAGCCTGGAGCCTGTTTCAGATTCTGTGTCTCCCTCTCTCTCTGCCCCTCCCCTGCTCACACCGTCTCTCTCTCTCAGAAATAAATAAAATGTTAAAAAAAATTTAAATTTTAATATTTATTTATTTATTTTAATGGTTTCTTTATTTTTTTGAGAGAGACAGAGACAGAGTGTGAACAGGGGAGGGGCAGAGGGAGAGGGAGACACAGAATCCGAAGACAAGCTCCAGGCTCCGAGCTGTCAGCACAGAGCCCGACGTGGGTCTTGAACTCACAAACCGCGAGATTATGACCTAAGCCACCAAAGTTGGGATGCTCACCCGACTGAACCACCCAGGTGCCCCTCATCTTAACCATTTTTTTTTAATTAATTTATTTTTTTTTCATCTTAACCATTTTTAAGTGCACAGTTCAATAGTGTTAAGTATATTCACTGTGTTGTGCATCTAATCTCCAGAAAGGATTTCCTTTTGCAAAACTGAAACTCTGTCCTCATTAAATACTCATTCCCCACATCCCCTTCCCCAGCCCCTGGTACCCACCCTTCTACTTTCTGTGTCTAAGAATTTGAACTCTTCTAGGGACCTCATAAAAGTGACATTGCACAGTATCTGCCCTTCTGTGTGTGGCTTATTTCTCTCAGCGTAATGTCTTCAAGGTTCAACCACGCTGAAGCCTGTGTCAGAATCTCCTTCCTTTTTAAGGCTGAATAATAGTCTATTGCACGGATGGATACGCCATTTTGTTCATCCAGTTATCTGATGGACACATGGGATGTTTCCAGCTTTGGGCTGTGGCGAATAATGCAGCTATGAACAACTAAAGTCTTTTAGTGCGGGTGCTTAAAACCTGGGGCAAAAAATATCACCGCTTGGAAAGAAGTTGCCTTCTTCCCATTCCACCGTGATGAGCTGTTCCTGAGTCAAACACACAGAGAGGTGGGAGGTGCCGGCCCCACCGCCCTGAAGTGGGAAGATAATCTGGAGGGAGGTGCGGGAGAGGACTTGTGGGGTCCAGATAGGGTCTGAGCTCTTACTCCACAATCCTGTTGGCTCGCAGTTAGAGCCACACCGACTCCTTATTACTTGGGGTCGTAAGAACTGTAAGAGACTTAAATTTATTTATTCTTTCGGACCTAGAACAGTGCAGGTAATTTCCTATGAAATAGAGTCTGGTTAATGAGACCAGGGCCAGAGCAGGGCCATCGCTTATAAGACATGGCTGGGAAAACACCCTTGGGGATTTTACCATAAATGAATGTATTTTCATTGCACAAATGTGCTTCTCCAGGGCAATGAAAGGGGCCATCTCAGTGACTGTTTCCATATTAAGAGCTCTGCATGTTTCTATATTAATAAATACCGTATATGTGATTGAAACTGTCATATGTTTCAAACTGTTACAAGAGCTGTACATAATTTTGAAGTGTATGCATACCTGATCATGAAAAATGCACATTGCTAAGAACCATGCCTAGATGTCCTAGTTATGGGCTTTTGGGGAAAACTGCATGAAAATAAATCCCTAAGTGAAAGGAGACATTACTGTGAAATCAGGTAAGAATTCAGTCTATTTGCATTTAATGGGATCTATACTTTACTAGCTTCAAGCACTGGATGGTGAAACTAGAGATACACTCACTGTCTGACGTGAAATTGTAAAACAACAGCTTTAATGTATATGATGGCCTCCACTTAATAGGAGCAAAATCCTATTTAATATTTTACGTGTTGGCATTTTAGTTAAGAAGTTGGGGCGGGTAGAAAACACAGGCCTCCGTCCATGTTCAGCGGAGGCAGGAGCGAATTCTAGAGGGGGAGCGGGCCTTTACGAAACGGGCCTAAAAGCGTCTGGGGGAAGGGCCGCCGGACAGACGCCGCGGGGCAGGCCGATGAGCACCCACTTTCTGTCTCTCTGGCCCATCCGCTGGCCCGCGGGTCCCCCCGGACACTGACCTCCGCTCCCACTGTTTCCAGTTCTGGGAGGTGATTGGCGAGGAGCATGGGATCGACGCGGTGGGGAGCTACATCGGGGACTGTGCCCTGCAGCTGGAGAGGATCAGCGTGTACTACAATGAGGCACACGGTAGGGTGCTGTGCGCTGGTGGCGGGGTCGCCGGCCCCAGGGACAGGGTCAGAGTGAGGCCTGCGCGCGGCTGCAGGACCCCGAGAGTGACAGGTCCCCAGGCTCGTCCAGGGCGATGGAGGAAGTCACTGAGGGGGAGGGGGCGTGTCTCAACACCAGGGCTTAACTTCAGCACCAAGTTTCCTTTATCGTTTTTTTTTTTTTTTTTTAATTTCTAGGAGAGAGAGAGAGAGAGACAGCGTGAGCAGGGGAGGGTCAGAGAGAGAGGGAGTCACAGAATCCGAAACAGGCTCCAGGCTCTGAGCTGGCAGTCAGCACAGAGCCCGACGCGGGGCCCGAACCCACGAACCGCGAGATCATGACCTAAGTGAAAGTCGGATGCTCAACCGACTAAGCCACCCAGGCGCCCCATCCTTTATTGTTTTTAAAGAAAAGCCGGAGTCCCTTCCATCAGGGACAGAATCTCTGTGGTTGGCAGTTCGACAAACAAAACAGAACCCGGTGGGAAGAGTATTCCTAAGGTATTTGACAGATTTGTGCACTTGTTGCTGGCAACAAGGGTGCTATTTCGAATGTCTTCCTGCCAGAGACACTTTCTAGAAGAATCCCTTTTTCTTTGCCAGGTATCCCAAGGTTCTATTTTGACGAAACATCAACTTTTGGGAAAACAACAGGCTGCCGACTTCTTCCTATTTCGCTACACAGGTAGGAAGTACGTGCCCCGGGCGCTGCTGGTGGACCTGGAGCCGGGGACGATGGACAGCATCCGGTCTAGCAAACTGGGGGCCCTCTTTCATCCGGACAGCTTCATCTATGGTGGGTTTTCCTGCAAGGGGCCCCGGGGGGGCCCCGGGGCGCCCGGTCCCCCCCCCCCCCGCAGCAAGGTAACCGAACTGGCCTCCCTCCGCACAGGCATCTCTGGGGCCGGCAACAACTGGGCCAAGGGCCACTACACGGAGGGCGCCGAGCTGGCCGAGAGCGTGCTGGACGCCGTGCGCAGCGCCTGCGAGGCCTGCGACTGCCTGCAGGGCTTGCAGCTGGTGCACTCGCTGGGCGGCGGCACGGGCGCGGGCATGGGCACGCTGCTGCTGAGCCGGGTGCGCGACGACTTCCCCGACCGCATCCTCAACACCTTCAGCGTGCTGCCGTCGCCCAAGGTGTCGGACACGGTGGTGGAGCCCTACAACGCCGTGCTGTCGCTGCAGCAGCTGGCGCAGCACGCCGACGCCTGCTTCTGCATCGACAACGAGGCGCTGTACGACATCTGCCTCCGCGCGCTCAGGCTGGCCGCGCCCAGCTACGGCGACCTCAACCACCTGGTGTCCCTGACCATGAGCGGCGTCACCACGTCGCTGCGCTTCCCGGGCCAGCTCAACGCCGACCTGCGCAAGCTGGCCGTGAACATGGTGCCCTTCCCGCGCCTGCACTTCTTCATGCCCGGCTTCGCGCCGCTCACCAGCCGCGGCGGCCGCCAGTACCGCGCGCTCACGGTGGCCGAGCTCACGCAGCAGGTGTTCGACGCGCGCAACGCCATGGCCGCCTGCGACCCGCGCCGCGGCCGCTACCTGGCCGTGGCCTGCTTCTTCCGCGGGCGCATGTCCACCCGGGAGGTGGACGAGCAGATGCTCGCCGTGCAGACGCGCCACAGCGCCTGCTTCGTGGACTGGATCCCCAACAACGTCAAGGTGGCCGTGTGCGACATCCCGCCGCCGGGGCTCAGCATGGCCGCCACCTTCGTGGGCAACAGCACGGCGGTGCAGCAGCTGTTCCGCCGCGTGTCCGAGCACTTCTCGGCCATGTTCCGGAGGAGGGCGTTCGTGCACTGGTTCACCTGCGAGGGCATGGACGTCGGCGAGTTCGCCGAGGCCGAGAGCAACCTCCACGACCTGGTGTCCGAGTACCAGCAGCTTCAAGACGCCAGCGCGGTCCCCGAGGACGACGGAGACGTCGTGGGGGAGGCAGAAATGGAGCCGGAAGATGGGCCCCGGGAGCCTGGCGGGGCTGTGTGAGCGGCGGCCGCAGGGTGCCCGCCTCTGCTCCCTGTGACCACGGGGACCGCGGGGGCCTCGGGGCCTCCCGCCCGCATCCGCTAACTTTCCACACTCCGACGTTCAGTGCACCCTCTATTGGCTGGTTTGTAATAGCAAAGCGAATTTGTGGCGAAGGGCTCCATTTGGGCCGTTCCTGTGTGCACAGGTCCGTGCCAGGCATCGAGCCTCGCCCTGGGCCGTGTGCGCTGCCTCCGCAGCCCCTCACCTTTGACCCTCTCCGGGCCCTGAAGCCCTTGCTCGGCATCCTTGCTAAGTTTCTGCTTCTCTGCCATGGCCCGTGCCAAGCATCTGGCCTCCCCGCACTTGCTGGCCTCCAGAAAAGCCTGCTCACTAACTGGTATGGGGGGGGGGGGGTAATAGAGCGAGGCAAACGTGAGTCGGCATCCACTAGTGAAAAGGGCAGACCACATGTGCGTGTCAACGTACTAACTGGGAAGGGGAAAGGGAAGGAAGAAGACGCGGCAGTGCTTTTCCCACCGAGACACCTGGGCACAGAAAGCCCCAAACAAGCAAAACTCACCAATTCCAAACCTCTGATCTTTATTTCTGCACAGCTTGCTTTTAACATGTACATTTATACTCTGTAAGTTTCTTATTAGTGCTAGGTTCTGGGAATTCGTGAATCACTGTCTTCGGTTTTCCTCGTAAAGCCTATTTCAAAATGCCCTTTTCACTTTCAGTCAGTAATCACCTTCTGAAAATGCTCTGTAGCCTCAGCTCTTTCAGAAAGGGCACATGGCGCGCTTGGCAGCTGTCCCCATGCAGGAGCGAGGCAGCCGCGGGCTGGCCAGTGTCCTTTTTGCTTGCAGAGGACGTCGTCTCATTAGGGAACTTTTACGGTCCAAATTAAATTGCAGAAGTTGCCATAAATGTTTGCACGCTTAAACAGCTTTCGCCATTACACGACTTTCATCTGCTCACATTACAACAGGACGAAATACACAAGAGTGTAATCAGATCATCCATAACTTTTTAATTAAGGTTTACCTATTTCTGACATGCAGCACAGCCACCCCTTCCAGTGACAGGAGGGTTCTAATGGCCTTCTAGAGTCACCACTGAGCTATATGATCTGATCCACGGGGAGCCCATGGGAACGCGCTCCGACCTTCGCTGCGGGAAAGATGTACTTGCAGGCCATGAGGCCCTCCAGTCCCGCTTCGTTTCTGTCATATCTGCAAGAATACGGACGCAGGTGGACGGGGACACCAGCTCGTCTGGAGGAACGTCACCCCTTCACGTGCGCATCGTATAGAAAGAACGAAAATGGGTTCGAAGAGAAAATTAAGTCTTGCTGTTCATGACGAGCCTTCTATTTACAAAACTTAAGTTTTATGTGCTTTCTCCTTGGGGTTCAAGCACTAAAAACAAAAGCAGGTTTCCTAAACTGTTACCTAGACACTCTCAGAAGTTCCTAACTTCTTAGAAGCCAGAAAAGACGTACGACCTCTGATTTTATAAGAATGATACACATGCTTCCTCTAGCACTTTCCTTCTCAAATCTGAAAAGGCAATCAAGTAGATGCACGGAAGGGTACAGACCTAAATTAAAAAAAAAAAAAAAAAAACCTGCTGATTTATGTTACTGTCAAGATTTTTGTTGCTCAATAGTAATCATTAAAGTACAAGGAAATTCAATTTTAAACGGCTAAACTGCTTTATTTCAGACTAAATAAATTCCTTTTCTTGGAGCCTAACTGCTCAGACTGATTAATTTTAGTTAAAAATATTTCAAAATGTATCTCACCATCCTACTCTTTTGTATGGTAGGAATAGATTAAAACACACACACGCACACAGAACCCACCAGAAACCAAAAGAAATCTGTCCCCTAAGATTTGGAGGAGCCTATTCCTTCCGGGGTTATGGTTGCCATGGCGACACTGGTCTGAGAGACAAGAGACATGGGATCAGCATTTTAGAGCCTGTCCAGTTCCTTCACTTCACACACAAGAACACTACACAAGCAGTGACTGATGAGCCCCTCAAAAATAACTCAAATGGAGGGGCGCCTGGGTGGCTCAGTCGGATGGGCGTCTGACTTCGCTCAGGTCATGATCTCACGGTTTGTGGGTTCGAGCCCTGTGTCGGGCTCTGTGCTGACAGCTCAGAGCCTGGAGCCTGTTTCAGATTCTGTGTCTCCCTCTCTCTCTGACCCTCCGCTGCTCACGCTCTCTCTCTCAGAAATAAAGCATTAAAAAAAAAATCACTCAAATGGTTAGTGAAATACACACAAGCAGGTCTGATCAGGGTCCCTGGTTATCTGGACACATCAGTCCTGCTGGCTGGCCCCGCAGTCCCCAGGCCTGGATGCAGAAAGTTTATCACCGTGATCAATTAAGGATTTTAACTACAGAGAAAGAGGCTCAAAGAATCTTTGCTGGGCACTCAACTGGTTTCTGATTTTTGCTTTCCCCTTTGCCTATCAGCAGCCCTGGCCCTGAGTCTCACCTTTAGTCCCCCCCCCCCACGCTGATCGAGGACTTCTCTCTGGTTACTCAGCTGCAAAGAACTCAGCCCTCTGTTCATCAGCTTTGTCAATGAAGAGGCCTGACGGCCTTGAGATTCATTTATTCCTGTCCCTGTAACGAGAGATGCTTCTTAGTACCTGGCTTGATCCCAGGGACCTCAGCGGTAGGTAGTGGGGTGCCCGGACTTTAGAACAGCACAACAACACTGAGAGAGATTGGGGGTTGGGGGGCCCAGTGGCTACTGCCCTGTGACTCTCCGCTCCCGCGCCCCACCCCCTTTCATCCTGCAGCTCTTCCTTAGTGCCCAGGGCCACGAAGGAAGTATAACCTACAGGTGAAGTGTCCCGGGGTGGGGACGGAAACCGCCTCCAGAAGGCTGAGAACAAACAAAGAGTTTTTGGGCTCCTCCTCGGCTCAGTGACGCCAATAACTGATCATTGGCTTAAGTACCCCGGTGAGAACCGGCCCCGCACAGGAGAGTTTCCCGTTCCCATTTCTGTCTCCAGCCTCCACAGTTAAAACCAGGCAGTGAGCTCTGCAGTGGGTGTTTTACTCAGCAAAGTGCTTCCAAGTTTCAAAGGAAGAGAAAAACAAAACACTGCGACAAGTCTCCACACCTGGGTACTTAATGAGTAAGCCCGTCACCACGCAAACACCACCAACCTGCCCGCCGTCATCCCCGCACCCTAGACCTGCAGGCAGGAACCTCACAAGCTCTCGCTCCAGCCTGTCAGTGCCGGCCATCGGCTCAGTGAGCGAGTTCCTGGAAGGCTCGGCCACACCTCCCATGCCACGTGCTCCCGGGACACCATCCACCCGCAAAACAATGTGAAGCACGTTTCTGGCCTAAATCCCGCCATCGGTAACTCCTCCCCACAGGTGTTAAGTGTGCAATACAAAAAGACCACAGTGTAGCGTTTTTTCTTCTAATCTATGCTTTTAGCAATTATTTTCATTACAACCCATCCACCACTCTGATGTGATTTCTCTAATTCTAAGCTAAGAGACGGTGAAAGCCTCTCTAAGAGACTACTTCTGTTAACAGAGATCACGAGAAAGAGAACTTTCTGTCCTGGGGCACGTGAGACACCCTTCCCGTGTCCCTCAGCTCGCGAGGCCGTAAGCCCGCCTGTGCCACCTCCCGCCACTCCAGCTCGTAAGGCCGTGACGCCGCAGGTGTGCAGAGAGTGCAACTGAAGAAAGAGTCTGAGGGAAAACAGACACCAGCAGCAAGAGGGGACCATACTTAGTTTATTGGCATCGTCAGTCTAGAACAAGACAGGGGTGGTGGTGTTTTTCTTTCTCCCCACGAAGGGAGACGGTTTCCAGTGTGCTGTAGCAAGAACCCACACATCTTCACCTTGAAAATGCGGCATTTCAAGCTCTAGGCGGGTCTGGGAGGAAAAAAAGAAAATGCAAAGTTGCTAGTTCTTTGTCTTTTAACTGTCCCACACTGCAAGGACTTCCTTGTCGTGAGCGGAGATAACTCTGGCGTCAGTTCACGTGGCTGATGCTGACCCCTGGCTCTTGGCTGTAGAAAGTGCTGGTTCACATGCACTGCCTCGGCTGAACAGGAACTTCCCTAAGTAGAGCCAAGTACACTCCTAGCAATAAAGAAACTAGTCTGCCTTTAAAGACGCTAAAAGCCCCCCTGTGCTGACGGGCGTCCCCTGCAGGACATGGGGAGAGCTGCTTTCTTTACGGATGGGGACACTACTTCCTGACCCCAAGGACATCACAAGGTCAAGGCAGTGCGAGGCGGAGAGTGGCCTGGCTCCGCTGCAGAGGCTCAGTGACTTTTTCAGCCAGTTCGCTGTTAGAACAAAACAAAACCCAACATAAAACCAGGCCGCATTACTTTGAGTCACGGGAGGAGGCAGAGGGCCCCTAGAAGGGCCACATTCACAACACCGCATCTCCAGACTCATCATAAAATATTTACTAATTCAAAATGAAAATGAAAAGTGCTTAGGGGAGACAGTTCCAATAAGTAAAATTACTCATAACCACACACTGCCAAAGGATTAATAGTTATCACATTTCTTTGCTACTACGGGTCTGAAGCCCTTTTAAAGCAAAACAAGAAAATTAAATCTGCAAAACATTTCTCTGGTTATTTGCCTTGTCTTTGAGATAACAACGCCAAGAAAAAGGTTTAGAGATCAAATCACTTTAGCAGTTTGGAGCGACGAGTCAGAACTTCTGAACTGCACAAAACTGTCTTTTGCTGCATAGGCTGTAATGGTACCTGACCGACATCTCTGGGGGAGTGAAATGAACCAAACCCTCTGACAGAAGAATGCATTTAGGAGACACAGCTCTCACCGCAGGGTCTTACAGATTGTGCCACTCGAGAAAAGAGCAGGCCCCTGGCCTGTACCTGCAGCCCTTATGTTCTGGAAAGAAATCATCTGTGAGAACAGTGGCAGACGTGGGGGAAGGAGAGATGCAAAGAACTGTAATCTGTCATGCCCCTGAACGCTTACATAACTCCAACAGCAATTACAAAAGCGGGCAGTTTATCTTCCAAATTATTTGATGTTGTGCAGACAAATGAAACAGTTTTAATTAAAATAAGATGGCTCTCTACCTAAGCATTGCTAAATGAGCTGAAAATCAACGTGCCAATTACTTCTGCTTGTCAGGGCTGAAACAAGGGTCTTTGATGATGCCATGGGACTTGCCTCACCTGTGTGCTTTAAATCGTTACTCCACTAACAGCTAAATGTACCGACTGAACAAAAAGTGGGCAGAATTCAAAAACTAAAATCACTTTGTTTTTCAAGTGCTCTAAGAGCTTAAGGTGCAGCTCTTCTAATAAGTCTGTAACTTACAGATTACTCCTTTTTCATTTTCACAATTTTTACGGTGCTGCCGG